CCTACGTGATGAAAAATGCTTTCGGGCCACTCGTCGTCTAGTTCACCAAGCTACCACCTTCATTCAAAGACCCAGCTGCCCAACAAAGCCTCTATACTCTAGCTACTCAAGTAGGCCCACTCCATCTGTGAGCTACAAAGTTATCTGACATCTGTGTGCATTCCTTGAACCAGTGGACTGGGACCTTAGATTGCCTTGCACCCGTGTGATGTTAGTGTCATGCTAGTCGTGTTCTCGTGTTTCTCTCACATCCCGCCTGGGTGATGCTCACCAAATCCTGTCGCCCATGCCGCGACAGCGCGGTGACGCTCACGCCATCCTCGGCGAACTCGGCGGGTCGCGCTATAGGGAAGGTCGCGCGGTTTAACCCCAACATACCCCAACACAACGGCGGGCAGTGAGGTCCAAAAGAAAAACCAAAGGAAGACGCCACTGAACTACCGAGCTGCGGAAGGCCTCCTTGAGGAGGTCCATGTGAGGTCCATGGGGAGTCCACCTGATTGCGTCGACTGAGTCGGAGGCGTCGGTTTTGTTTAACATTGTCCTGCAGGTCGTTCCAACATTTCCCCGCACTCAGTGCGTTGTTGGTGAAAAGAACGTCCTCAAGATGCACCCATTTTGCAGCCCATGGAGGCCGAAGCTGCCTCGCTCTTGGCCAGTGGACTGCCCTCGTGCTTAGAGAAGCCACCATGGCCACTTCTCCTCCGTCAGCGGCCATGGCTCAGTTGGTGACTGACTCTGTCAGCGCAGCTCATGTGCACAGTCTGCTTGTGCAGCTCATGGGCTGGGTGTTGCTTCACTGGCGCTTCCTACCCTCGAACGTGACGGTGCGTGCGCCCTCAACTTGTGTCCTTTCCAGCTGAACTGCGCCCAGTCTGAGTGATTGAGCTTACTTAGATAGAGAGAGAGAGAGATATCTATATATATAGAGAAAGAGAGAGAGATAATGTGTTAGATTGCTCTAGATTGTGCAGCAGTAATTAAAACAAACTATATTGTATGTGCACGGATTGCGTACTTATCATATTACCCTGCTATAATATGCAAGCTCATGTGGAGACCTTGGCAGTGAACTTGCCTGGGCCTTGTGAGCAGAACCAAGCCTTATGAACAGATTGATTGGTCATGGCATGTCACAGCTTTCACGGCTCCTGCTTTAGGAATCCATCAATCTGGGCTTGGCTTGGCTTGTCCCAGAACGTGCTTCAGCCTGTCCCTGCTTCTCCAACGGGCACCCCCCCGGGCAAACTTTCAGACTTCAAGATCTTCTCCAGAACCAGAACCAGATGAACCAGATGAACCCAGAGGCAGAACGAACCGGAACCAGAACGAACCCAGAGGCATCCAGCCGAACCCGGCTGGAACTCCTTCCGGCCACCCACCATGGCAGGCCATGGGTCCGTGGGGGTCGAGGTTTCCGCCGCCTCTTCGGTCTCTGCTTGAGCCTTCCAGGCCTCCCTGTCCCGTTGCTGCTGCAGGCCTGAGATGGAGAGAGCCCCAAATTCTTGCCCACCGTGTGGTAGGGGAGCCAAGCACTTCTTTCCACATGCCAAGGGGACTCATTGCTCCCTACTCGCTTCGTTGGTGTCAGCAGTAGGACTCTTCGCACTCCTGAGCCAGCTGCTGTCAGCATGGACCTCTCTGGCTGGGACAACAAGGTATGAGCAGGCTGTGGAACTTCTTTCATTGTCCTTGTGTGATATATATATATATATTACTAAAGAATATATATATATATATCATAGAGTTTTCCGCTAATTCTTATATATATAGTCCGTTCTTCTGCTGCTATCTTCGTGCAGTCTCACGTAGTACTTCGTTGCACTTCCTTTCTGTACATTCTTTCAGTGGTTTCACACCAAAAATGAGCAAAGGGTTCACCGGTGGCGCGTTCAATCTTGAAGTTCAAACAGGTACCCAAGTTTCGTCTGAGGGTCTACCAGGGTCCCGAAGCTTTGACCATTGCAGCATTCCTTCTCTAGGTATCCCATCTTCGCCTTCTAGCAACCAAACACATGGAACATCATGGAAACACATCTGGTTCCCCCCACCTTCTCTAAGGCCTTCAACTGTCTCTGCACCTGCTGCTGCTCCTGCAGACTAAGAGCAAGTTGTTGAGCATGACCTTGGCACCAACACAACTTTGGATGGTGAGATGATGGGTCATGCCCCATTCCTGCCACGGAATCCATGGGATCATCCTAGTGATGGATTTCTGGACACCCTGTCTGCAGCATCCGGGTTAAGCCTACCTGCCTGCTGGTCAGGAATGAACAGCAAGTAAATAAGACACCAGAAACATTATCCAGTATTCCTCCTCGCTTCCCAGTCTTCCCAGGTTTCATATAGGGAGCCAGGCCATTTTCAGAATCTTCTGGATTTGAGCTGTTCGAGTTCCTCTTGAAGGGTATATGTCACATTCAAGCAGCAGAAGGACAACATGCATCCTCTGCTCTCGCTTCGCAGACC